AAACCAGCTTTCCTGTTGGGCTAAGAGACATTTATTACATTGGGCTAAGAGACCTCTCCTAGTTCAGTTCTGGACTCAGCTCTAGGGTAGATGGTTAAATAAAAGGCCTAGTTTGTCTCTTGTAGTTAGGGGCGTTTCATGGTTTTCTTTATCCAGTGTAGAAAACTTGAGACTTTGGTGCACACTCCTGGAGTTGTCCCGTCTTTACGTCCATAGGAGACAATGCCCTGGGCCACGTTCTTACACACAAGGGGCCCTCCAGAATCCCCCTGTGAACAGAGAGGGGGAGAACTGAGTTGGTTGCTGTTCCCAGGCCTGTCCTCCCTCTTATCCCAAGCCTGCACTCAGAGAATGATGACTTATACATTCTGATTGTGCATTTCAGAGGGTAGGTTTGCTCCTGGGGCCCTGGGCTTCTGAGCTCTGGGTATGGGCATAGTTACTGTGTCACCTCACTTCTGGGGCCAGCCTCTGGGCTCTCTTGAGGTCCTGTGATTCGCCCCACCACCACCCCCTTGGAAGGTTGGACCATCATCTTCAGGCTCCCATGTAAGGACAGGGCTCAGGTGAGTGCACCTGATGTGAGTGTGGGGCATGAGCCACTGACAAGGCGAGTGCTTGCTCTGAAGAGACACCTGGTTGTGATTATGACACACTCAGCAGTTTCATAAGCCTGGGGCTTTAGCCTTTGCAAACTCCTGCTTGAGAAGAACAGATTCAACAGAGGTCCTAGCTGATTCCAAGTTCCACCTGCTCCTAATCTCTGCCATGAGGACGGTCACAGCTGGTCGGTGAAGGTGTACCTTGCTGTTTGGGTCACCAGGTCCCAGAGTTTACTTCCCCCCAACAGAGCCAAGAGAGGCAGATGATTAGACTCACCTTTAAGGAAGCATGAGTTGTCTTTGGGTCTCCCACACACATCTCAGTGGCCTTGTCATAATTTGCAAAGCTGGACTCACAGACCTGGTCTGCCTGCACTTTGATCTTCACCTCTTGCAGTGTGTTTGAGGGTGTTCCCCTTGGGTCTGTCCTGCCCCAGCCAGCCACATAGCACACACTCCCTGGCTTCACCTGGGCCTTGCTTGTGGGCAACTTGAGGGTCTGGACAGCCTTAGTCCGCTGGGCTTTGCTCTTCAGCTGATGGAGAAGAAGCACAAGAGTCCAGCTCAGCCAGTGGCCTTCTGGGCTTGGACACCATGAAGGGCAGGATGGAAGGAAGGGAGGGAAGGGGCGGGTCAGAGCAACAAGCCTGCAGTGGCAGACCAAGGCAGCTGGGAGGCCTCACCTTCAGCAGCATGATGTCATTGACTATCTTCTCACGGTTATAATCTGGATGTCGAATGGGTTTTGCCACAGGGATGACCTGCTGGGTCTTCTCCTTTTCCACGATATTGTGGGCCCCCAGGGTGACATTCATTGAGCTGCACAGAGAGCACAGTGTGGAGGAGGGATGCAGAGTCAGAGAGGATACAGCCCAGGAGGTGAGAAGGGCTGGTCGGGGTAGGGCTCTAACACAGGAGTGACTGTGCCTCTGCTACTTATCTGTGAGCTGATGGAATTCTGAAGCCCCAGTGTTTGCACCAGGGCTTATCAGAGTTCAAACAACCCAAGGAAGCACATGCAATAGTTTCAGACTGTATTGCAATGCTGTCCTAGACCTAAACACGCATGCTTGATTACTTAGCAAAGACTCCGGTGCCAGCCTGTCTCTTTCCATGAGACGTGACTGGCGCATGTCTCGTCCATGAAGGAATCCACATGCATTCCTAGCATCCCAGGGAGCATCTAGGGAAGAAGACAGGGGTTCCTGTGGAATGTTCCAGGAGTGTATGGACTGTTCCTTGCTTCTCACCTCCCGAAACAGTGAGCAGCGGTCAGCACAAAGTCCTCCCTTATCAGGAAGCCCCCACACTGCTTCCCCGAATTCTCATCGAGCACCTGGACCAAGGCCATGTAGGGACGGGAGTGGGGCTTGGCCTCATGTCCCCCGATGATCTCGCCTGTAAAGAAACCCAGCCTTCTTGTGGGCACCTGCCAATCCAGCAGTTGGGCTTCATGTGATGACTCCAGACCTGCTGGGCTTTTGGGAGCCTGGAATGGCCTGGAGCTGGGAGGGGCTGAGAGAGCACAGTCACATTCCTCCTCTGCAAAAGGGGAGAAAGGCAGTACTTGGTCTGCAAATCTTTACTCAGCTGTTGGTGAGCGTTCCATTCTCTGGACAGTGAAATCCCAGGGGCTTCTCAGACCCTTCTGACTTCTGTTCCCAGAGTTTCTAAGACTCTCCTGAGTCTACAGCAGCTGAGTCAGGGCTGCTTTCTAGTGGCCAGGGCTGAT